TCATCCATATCAAAGTTTCTTTCTGCATATAATAAAGAATAAAGGTTAGTCTTACTCTTCCTTTTACCCTTAATATATTTATAAAAACATTTTTGTTATCCTTGGCAACAAAAGTCACCATTTTAAGTTCAAACTAAGCTTTAGCCTCCTTATTTTTTTTCTACATATTGTAGCAGTCCTGTTAAATACTACCCGAGAAACTTGATCCTCCTTCCAAATATAATACATCCTTTTTTTCTTCCTGAGTTTCTCAAAAACCTCCTTGCCCACCCAGGCTGGACGTTTGCCTTGTCAACTCATCTTTTGGCACACAGGGACAGTGTGTTCCTGTACTCTCAATATCTCCATTCTGAGGCATGCCCACAGTTCCTGAACTTTATTTTTAACGACTGCTTCCCAAGGAACTTTTTGAATAAGTGTCCTGAACAGGCCAAAATCTGCCCTCCAAAAGTCCATTGTAAAAGTCTTACTAATGTCCCTCTTGACTTCACCAAATATTGAGAATTTTATGATTTCATTATCACTATTCCCCAAGTGGCCTCCAACCACCACATCTCCCACCAGCCCATCTCTATTTGCAAATAACACGCCTTACATAGTCCTTCCCCTGTTGGGACAACCAAGCTATGTCAAAACTTTGTCCTCCACAAACTCTAAAAATTTCCTAGACTTCAGCTGTATTGAGGTCCCAATGAATGTCTGGCAAGTTGAAATTGCCAACAAGAACTAGGCCTGATGATTCAGAAACATTCTCTAGCTGTTTATAGAATGAATTGTCCACTGTTTCTTCCTGGTTGGGTGGACCATAACAGACGCAGTAGGATGTCAGCGTTGTTGGCCTTGGCCCCTGTTGTATATAGTGTATATCACATATAGTGATATGTGATGCATGAATTGCATCACTGTATGTGTTACTAACAGTTCAAAAGGCACTCTTCAGTGCATCTCTGAAAGAACCAAGTTTTTTTAAGCTGCTACACAATTTTTGACACCAAACTATTTGGGTTCACTATCTTAGAAATTTGAGTGACTATGATCAACATATCTTAAAATGTCAGTAGGATTAGGAGCTTATTAAGTTAGTATCTAAATAGACTAAGAGATTTGCAAAACTGGTGATGGATTTTTTTGGAAACATATTGTATTTTGTTTGTCTATAAAGGGACAGTGAATTATCCCCCAACTAGTATTCTTCCTCATGCAAAGGTAGACATCACTTCTGTGCTGTGCTTAAATATAAACACAGTGATGTGATGCAAAAGTAGTGCTTCACTATTCTCCAACAAAAATATTACTTTTCTGACTACAAAGTGAAATTCTTACTCATCAATAAAGCAAATGGTACAATTACTGTCTAATTTCACTCTGTAAATTTTTTTTGTTCCTTTTTACAATTTAGTTTCATTCTAGTAATGTTCTCCCATACTCTGAGAAAGATCACTGGTAGAATTTTGAAGCATGTATGCACTGTGTAATTTAGAAACCTAAGTATTTTATCTTTACTTCTAAGTGCGATTTATTTCATCAAAGGTGTAGA